TCCTCACAAGCATTCGGGTTAAGCTCCTTCCTGACTTCAGATTGAGGTCCAACCATAGATGTCACATTTTGGCCAGGACTTTCCTTCTCCAGAAGATTGCCATTTTTAATAGACCGTGTACTTCCTTTTGTCCCTTTATGGCTCATGTCATAAGCAGCCAAACCAGAAGCCCTGACAGATGCAGCACGGATTGAAGTAAACCCTCGTTGCAGAGATCCTGAAAAAAATACATGATTATAAGACCTCCAAAATTCAGAAGCAGCTTTGTTATCAAATCTTCAAAGGCATTCTGTCTGATAACGAATATGGTTAGAATATAGAAGTTGAAAACATAAAAGGAATTCATCAACCACCTAAAAGTACCAGCATACAAGTGTATATTAAATACTTTCATGTACTGAATAAGAGAAGAGAAATCCAGATTCTAAAATATAAAACAGAGAAAGCGAAGACCAAGCCTCTCTTTCAATAGTAAAGCTTTTCCTGGATACAGCAGAAATGACCAACTGTAGACACATAGAGTTCAGAACCATAGTCAGCAATTACATACTAAATATCAAAATACATAATAGTTGACGCACTGGCAAAGAATATACAGATCCAGCTAAGTGAGGAGGCCTATTTACAGTGAATTTTAAAAACTGGATGGCGCAAAATGTTTTGTCCAATTTTTCACTAGTAGAAGAACATTTCAATTAATTGCAAATTTAAGGAATGGATTAAGAAAGGGAACTTTTTGCTCAGTTATAGTTCCATGCAGATCCTGCATAATCAAAATGGAAGAAAAGAGATGGTAAAATGATAAATTTAGGCCAAACATGTACAGCGTTAGAACTTGATTAAAACGAATTATCTCATGATAGCGAAACCAATTTACCTGATTGATGCTTGTCATTGCTTAGAACATCTGATTGTGAAATCGAACTCTCATAACCCGTGTTGGAATTGTTGCTTTTAGTAAACTTCACCTGATCAATAGAACTGAGGCTGTGTTTCATTGAATCATCATCTGATAACTCTTCAGTATCGCACAAGACCTCAGTTCTATCACTTCCTTCACTATCTACGGCAACTTCGACGTTGCACTTTTCAGATNCACTTTTCAGAAGTCCGGATGCGTTCATTTTGTAGACCATCATGATCTTCCACCACTTGGGTTTCACCACCTAAATCCACCCGTTGAGTTTCACTACAAAAATCCACCACTTGTGTTTCACCACCAAAATCCACAACTTGCGTTTCACCGCCGAAATCCACCACTTGTGTTTCACCACCGAAATCCAAAAACTGGTTTTCACCACAAAGATTTACAAGTTGGGTCTCAAAGGCATCATTGAAGAAAAGACGGTCATCAGCAGGAACCATACATTGGTTACGGTACAACTCAGGATCCTTCCCTATAAATATAGACCAAATTGTATCTTTAGGGGAAAAAGCAATTTCAAATTAGAGTTCCAAATCTTAGAGAGAAAAAAAGTATCTCCCATATATTTGACTAACTTTGCATTTTCTTAATCTTCTGAAACCCCCTTCTCATCCTAAAGAAAAAGGTAGTACTCCCTCCCTCCCACTTTATGTGATGCGATTTGGAGTACAAGGGTCAAACTATCTAATTTTAGGTGTAAATTCGAACATAGAATCTTCAAATTTTTTGAAATAAAATTAACATATTTGGAAACTACGTAAAAAGTAGTAGTCACAAAAAAATTACAACATTGAAAAGGCGTCGAGGTCAAAGAAATTTTTTTTTGACTCTCCGAATTGTAACTGCATCACATAAGGTGGGGCAAAGGGAGTGAAGATGTCTTCTTTTTTTTTTTTTTTGATAAGCAGTGAAGATATCTTCTGTTAATAAAGGATTCAATTTTTTTTCTTTATCCTTAACAAGCAAGAAAATTAAAACCCTTATATTAACATTTAGGAATAATCAACATACCCTAATTTACCCAAAAAAATTAGAAAAAATAAAAATAAACTTGCCTGGGAATGACTCGGATGAAATTTGAGTGTCCACTGGTTGTGTATTGTCATTACTCAAAATACCCCTTTTCGGGTCAGGATTGTTCGCATTCTTTTTTCCACCGTCTACCATTTTAATTCATCTACAATTACATACCAAAAAATAGTAAATAAATCATAATCACAACAATAGTGATAATATTAATTGACACCAAGCCAAAGACTATGCCTTTAGAACACAATATCGCAATTGAAGAAATAAATTTAGAAGAAAAAAAACTGGAAAAAGTACACAAAAATAAAATACTAACTGCATCAAATCGGATTGAATCGGAAACGTCGGAGAAATCCGCCGGAGAGGTTGTGGGTATAGTTGT